GAAGGACAACTCACTTTAATGCGTCTAACCGTCACAATCCTTTTTAACTCACAATTTAACGAGATGTTTGATAAATTAAAATGATTAAACGTTGAATGATTCAATGACCTGAATAATTCAAATGCTCGGTATGAATTTGTTGACGAAAACGGGTAAAGAAAACAAAAGAACACGAGAATTTTACGAGGTTCGTCAATGTGCTTACGTCCTCGGTGCCTAGGCGGCGCTAGAAGTTTTATTCAATGATATTTTAGGTCTAGGTTACATCTCTATTTATAATAGAAAACCCTGGTACATAATTACAAAATTAACCCTGTACCATACCGCAGGGGCTGCGCCCCCGCACCCCCAACCCACATAATTCGTAACCCCACAACGAGACTTTCTTTGTAAGGACAGTTGATGTTCGCTTCGCTCACTCCGCTCCATCTCCTGTCCTCTTTACTGGTATATTTATGAGCCATACCTAACAAATCTCCACCTTGGCGAATATCCTTCCCCTTGGAAACTTCTTGGGTTACCTTGCTTCTTTAACAACTCGAAACATTCAACAAGTCCAAGCAATGCTTGAACTTGTTTGTCGTAACTGGCTTGGTGAACATATCAGCGGCATTCTCATCAGTATGTACCTTCTGAAACAAAACCTCTTCAGATGCAACCAACTCTCTGATCTTGTGGAACCTTACATCAATATGTTTAGTTCTAGCACGATACACCTGATTCTTAGCCAAGTGAATAGCACTTTGATTATCACAAAGCAACTGAACTCCACCTTGTTGAACACCCAACTCCTTCACTAAACCAGTAAGCCATAAAGCTTCTTTTGCAGCTTCAGCCGCTGCCATGTACTCAGCTTCAGTTGTAGATAGAGCCACAACAGATTGAACAGTAGACTTCCAACAAATAGGCCCTCCACCAATAGTAAAGACATACCCTGTCGTAGATCTTCTATTATCCAAGTCACCTGCATAGTCTGAATCCACATATCCTACAACCAAAGGATTATCCCGCTGACTCCCAAAAATAATTCCATGTCCCACAGTACCCTTTAAGTACCGAAAGATCCACTTGACTGCTTCCCAATGTTGCTTACCAGGTTTAGACATGTACTTACAAACTTGACTAACAATATGAGCTAAATCAGGACTAGTATATACCATCGCATACATCAAACAGCCAACAGTATTAGAATACGGAACCTTTGCCATATCTTCAACTTCCTTATCTGTCTTAGGGCATTGTTCTGATGAGAGCTTAAAGTGATTCGCCAATGGAGTGCTAACTGGTTTCGCGCTGCTCATCGCAAACTTTTCTAGCATTTTCTCAACATAACCCCGTTGAGATAGCCGCAGTTTCCTTGAGTCTCTGTCCCTACAAATTTCCATTCCAAGAATTTTCTTTGCAGCACCTAAATCTTTCATATCAAATTCTTGACTCAATAAAGTTTTCAAACCGATAACATCATCCATGTTCTTCGCAGCAATCAACATATCATCAACATACAGTAATAGAAGAATAAAAGAACCATCATCAAGGCTCTTAACATAGACACAACAATCATACTCACATCGGTTGTAGCCAATCTTGATCATATAGGAGTCAAACCGTTTATACCACTGTCTCGGAGACTGTTTCAACCCGTACAAAGATTTCTTCAATCTGCAAACTAAATGCTCGTTTCCAGGTTGAGTGAAACCTTCAGGTTGCCGCATGTAGATCTACTCCTCTAAATCACCATGCAAAAAAAGCAGTTTTAACATCCATCTGCTCTAAATGCAAATCCCAACTAGCCACCAATGCAAGTACTGCTCGGATTGAAGTGTGCCTGACCACAGGAGAAAAGATTTCATCATAATCAACTCCTTTCTGCTGTGAAAAACCCTTCGCTACCAAACGATCCTTAAACTTCTCCCCCTCTTTTTCTGTTACTGCTGGTTTCTTCTTATACACTCATTTGCAACCAATCGACTTCTTACCCTCAGGAAGGGGAACTAACTCCCATGTGCGATTGTGATTCAAAGACTCCATCTCCTCAACCATGGCTGCCATCCACTTGTCATTTTCCTGACTAGTAACGGCATCATGAAAAGTAACCGGATCATCACTGCTAACAATAAGTGCAAAAGATACCAAGTCTTCAAAACCCAATCTGTTCGGAGGCTTTATATTCATCCGTCTCACCCTGTCTCTGGCGAGACTATAATCCTGCAAATCATTTGTAGTGGAACCACCAAAAGTCGGTTGAGAAGTTTCTGGTTTCTTAACTGGAAACTGCTCGAAATCCACCACTGTCATGTCATGCTTCTGCTGCAACATGGACTGTTCATCAAAAACGACATCTCTACTAATCACAACTTTCTTCGCAACTGGATCCCAGAACTTGAATCCTTTGACACCTTTCTTGTAACCCAGAAAAATGCACTCCTTCGATTTTGCATCAAGTTTGGATCTCTCATCAGCAGGTACATGAACATAAACAGGACAACCAAAAATTCGTAAGTTATCAAAACTAACATCATGACCAGTCCATACCTCTTCTGCAACTTTCCCAGCCAGCGATGCCCTTGGCGATCTGTTGATAAGGTAACACGCCATGTTAACAGCCTCAGCCCATAAGTGTTTGGGAAGCCCCGCATTCAACCGTAAACATCTGGCTCTTTCATTCAATGACATGTTCATTCGTTCCGCAACACCATTCTTTTGTGGTGTCTTGCGCACTGTAAAATGCCTCTGAATCCCATGCTCCTTACAGAATTGTAGGAACTGTGAATCTGTGTACTCCGTACCATTGTCAGACCGCAAACACTTGATTTTTTGTCCTGTTTGGTTTTCTACCTCAGCTTTCCACAGCTTGAACTTCTCAAAAACTTCAGATTTCTGTTTCAAAAAATACACCCAAACTTTCCGTGAAAAATCATCAATAAAAGTAACATAGTACCTAGATCCACCCAAAGACGATGTCGTGGAAGGCCCCCATACATCAGAATGCACATAATCAAGAATCCCTTGAGTTGTGTGCTTCGTAGTCATAAAACGGACTTTAGTCTGTTTACCAAGAACACAATGCTTGCAAAAATCGAGCTTACAGCTTTTGACACCATGCAACAAGTTTCTCTTGTGTAATTCTGCCATACCACGTTCACTAAGATGAGCAAGGCGCATATGCCACAATTTTGTCGTATCATCATAGGACTCAACAGAGTGAACTCCACCTGCAACGGTACTCCCTAACAATCTGTAGATATTCCCTACAGTCATCTTGCCTTTCATCACAGTCAATGCTCCTTTAACAATCCGAATGGTTTCCCTATCCTCGTCAGCCTTAGGGATAAAACCATTCTTGTGCAAAGTGCCCAAGGAAATCAAATTCTTCTTCAAGTCTGGGATATGTCGAACACCACTCAACGTCCGAACGGATCCATCGTGCATCTTAATTCTGACATCACCAATACCAACAATATTGCAACATCGATCATCACCCAAATAAACCGAACCAGAATTAACCGGCCTGTATGTCGAAAACCATTCCCTATTTGGCATGATGTGATAAGAACATCCAGAATCAAGAATCCAAGCATCCGTCAATTGTGTCGTTGAAATAGAAAGCATATCACCCTCACTGCAATCAGAATTATCATCCTCGACCACGTTCACAGACTTGGATGAGCCATCACGCTTCTCATCAGTCTGCTTTTTCAACTTCGGACAGTCTCGCTTCATATACCCCGCCTCCTTGCACTTGTAACAGTGAATCGTCTTCTTATCCCTGAATTTGGATCTGGAATTCCGCTTCCCGGACCCTGCCTTCTCTGGCTTCCGTCCACGATCTCGATTACCCTTGACATATAAGCTATCGGCTTGAGAGCTTTCCCCTGCATTCTGCTTCTGCTGGTTGTGAGCCAACAAGGCTGTAGTAATCTCCTCAACGTTGATAGTCTCTTTACCATATGTAAGAGTAGTCACCATGTGTTCGTAAGAGGGAGGCAACGAACACAACATAATCATCGCTCTGTCTTCATCCTCAATTTTCACATCAAGCCGAGCCAGATCAGAAACGATTTGATTGAAGACATTCACGTGTTGCGCCAAATCGTGATCGTCCTGCATCTTCAGCCCATACAGCCGCTGCTTCAGATACAGTTTTGTCGTTAAGGATTTGGACATAAACTGACTTTCCAACTTCCTCCAAATTTCATCTGGAGACGATAGATGCATGACGTGATACATGACCTCGTCCGCCAAACATAATCGTATGGTTCCTGTCGCTCGCTGCTGCAATTCTTCCCAATCTTCCTCATCCATCGACGCCGGCTTTGAAGGTCGCAAAGCCTTCAAGATCCCTTGCTGCGCCAATAGATCCTTCATCCTCGTTTGCCATAATCCGAAGTTACCCTGACCATCAAATTTCGCGACTTCGAATTTTGCTCCTGACATCTGATACCAATTGTTGACAAAAACGGGTAAAGAAAACAAAAGAACACGAGAATTTTACGAGGTTCGGCAATTTGCTTACATCCTCGGTGCCTAGGCGGCGCTAGAAGTTTTATTCAATGATATTTTAGGTCTAGGTTACATCTCTATTTATAATAGAAAACCCTGATACATAATTACAAAATCAACCCTGTACCGTACTAGTATATTTATGAGCCATACCTAACAGAATTGACTCTGAATGTGACATGCTGTTTGATAATGATTCTGAATATACAATATAAATTATGAATATTTTCATTTTTACCTTCATATTGATTTATTATATTATAAGATATGATTGTTTAATAAGACAACATGTGAAAAGAATATGTATTATGGTAAAATACTGGATGCTTAATGATTCAAAATGTACTTTAATGTTGAATCATTTAGCAATATTTTGTTGTTTCATTCAGCATTGTTTTGTTGTTTCATTCAGCATAGTCTTTATTCAGAAGTAAGAATCAAATACGCTGAATGCTGAACGGTTCAACATCCAGCGCTGAATAATTTTATTCAACAGTAAACAAACGACCCCTAACTATCGATACAATCATCATCCATAAATTCTGCCACCGATAACGTGACATATCTACTTTATCGACCTACAAATAGTTAATATTCTACCTCCATACATAATATAGGTCAGTATATAAGCCGTAAGGCACGATCAGAAAGGATGTATGCTCTCCTCGTGAGTCGTGATTTTTCTTTTTTCATCCTCCTAAATCTTCAATGAATGAACCTCGTGATAACAAGTTATGATTCCTCACCTAAATCAGAATGAGGGGATCGTCTATAGTCAGCACAATACAATGTTGAAGAAATCAACATGATTGAAAGGTTTTCTTAACGAACGTTCGTATGTTTATTTTGGTTCTTCATGTTGGAAGATTAATGAATTTGTTTTCATATTTGAACTAGAACACTATGCAAGTGATTCCTAACTAAGCATTAATAGTCGAAAGCTGCTTCTTACCATTTCATACATCACAGAGTTTGAGACAGAAACGAAATCAAACGGAATCATCAGTTTGGATCCTTCTTCTCTAGCATATCTTCAAGAACAACAGACTTTGGGTTCTTCATCGGAGGACCTTTTTCTCTGCGTTCAAGTTCCTCAAGGCGAAACGTGACCAATCTGTCCCAATTTCCGCCTTCGAAAAGAACCCCAGCTTTCCCATCAGTGATCCGCTGCACAATGCCGCAATACATGTAGAACGGATTGTTCGGGTTCTTCACAATCGCGATCATTCCCGGCATTAACAGCGGCAACTCCGGCGATTTCGGCTTGGCAGCCCTACCAATACTAACTGAATCCGAAACCGACTGCTTTGCCGGCGGAGGGTTTTCTTCAATGAACTTTATCAGACCCCTTTCACCGCCGGGAAACCCTCCGGTCAACCCCATCATCTCCTTCTCGAAGCCATCGTCTGGAACTGAGATCGGTGTGCTGCTAGAGCTTTCAACATCTGTAGTAACATCTGATGAAGTATCGTCCACGTTTCTCTTGAGCTCAACTTCAATACCCTTTTCTCCATTGCAGAGTCCCCTGCCTCCCAGGATTTCAAATAGATCAAACCTGGCATAAAAGGCGGCTCTTTTAGGCTGTTTGGCAACCGGGAAAGATGAGTTATGAGGACGATGAGTGATGGGGGGTTTTCCCAGGAATTGAGATCGGAATACAGAACCTTGAAGTGTTGGGAGAGTAATTGAAGATGAAGAAGCCATGGTGGTTTTTTCCAGAAGCAAGAGTGGAGAAATCCTGACCACAATTGTTTGCAACTGCTGGCTGATTTTATCTTCAACAACTCGGCTCATAGGATATGAATAAGGCAAAAGCTAAATAAACTTAACCAATCATATGTTTACATCTAGAGATAGTCATGGTCGATTCCAAATTTTAGTCTAGTTAAATTTTAGGAGTGTCCAATTTTGGGATGTGAATACGTATCGGATAGAATTTTAGTCTATTCTATTTGATTTCATCTAAGAAATATTTTTTTTATCCCAAATCTGATTCGATATGAAATTTAAAAAAAAAATTACATGGCCCGATTCATAAATAAAATAGTTGACCTGATTTGATTTACATTTTTAATTATTTTTATTAAAATAAATAAATAAAATTTGAAAACAAATCTAACAAAAAATAAATGAGTTTAAATTAAGAAAAGCCCAATTACACAAGCCTAATTAAAACCCTAAACCTAAAAGAGAGACTGTTTTTTTTTATGAAATTAAAACAAAAATTTCAACTTGAGAATCTTAAGCTACTCGACATCTTGACTTAAGAATTGTCCAATTATACAAGCCTATATAAAACAAATACTACCATAATTAACAAAAGATTGGGTAAAACCCTAAAAGAGCTACTGATTTTTTTTTATAAAATTAAAACCCTAAACCTAATAAGAGATTGAATAAAAACATAGTTTCTTCATATACGAAGCATCGATTGTTAGAAGAGAAAAACAATGAAATATGAATTATGAATTTTTGGTATAAGTTATATTTATTAAAAAACAATGAACAATGAAATATGAATTGCAATTTTTGTTGGGGTTTTTGAAATCGCAAAATGATTTGCTTGTTTTTCTGATAGAAGTAATCTGCCAAATGTAAATTATCAATTTAACTGACAGTTTAATATCATATTATTGCCAATTTAAATCTCATGTCAGTTTCCTTTATATGTTTAAAGGAATTTTAATGGATTTCAAGGGAATTTTTCTTAGAAAATAGAAAACATTGAAGAAAACATGTTTGTTTATAAAATTAGAAAATGAAAACAAAAATAAGTGAAAATATGAAAACATATAAAAGATGTTTTAAGTATTTTCATTAAAATTGTTTTGAAATAGAAAAATGCGAAATCTAGATTTTTAACTTAACTTACGCATGTTCAAACCCTTATGTCGTAATCGTCCTTCAGGTGGGCCAGAATCGGGTTTCAACTTAAATATACGTGTTAGAGCCGCCACCGATCATCTAAAATTATGTTGATCGGACACCTTAACTTATCATTTACTTGATCTGTGTTTTACCAGAAATTAATCGGATTCGGGAATCGATTACAGTCAATGAAGGATTAGCACCCCTGTACTGCCCTTTCGGTACCAATTCGATTTTCCGGTTGTCTTAATTTAAAAAATTTAAAATTTAAAATTAAAATTTAAGTGTTCGATCCGAATTACTTACCTTTGATCGATTAAAAATAGCCCTAAAAAGGAATCATTGTTAGATAAGAAAAGATTAAATTTAAATAAGAAATAAATTAAAGTGGTTAAATATTAAAATGAATTATATTGAAATAAATCAAAATTCAGGGGTCAAATTGATGTTAAAGTGAGCTGCAAGGGAAAAATGGAGAGTTAAGGGGTAAAATTTCAAAAATATAAAAGATAAAATAGGGATTAAATTGAAATAAATCAAAATTCAAGGGTAAAATTACAACAGGTGGCCAAAATGAATTACGTATCAAAAGGTCAGGGACTACGAAAATAATTTAAGAATCTCATAATTACACCAAGGTCCCCTATAAATAGCCAAATTAACAAAAAAATCATTTCAAACCCATTTCAAAAAAAGAAAATATTGAAAACATTTTGATGTTTCGATATAACAAACTAAGTATAAATTAATTTTAAGATTTTATAAAAAAATTTTTAAGTATATTCGATATAATTATTCAAATATCAAAATATTACTCCAAGTCTTTCAAAGTTCAATTTCAATCCTTACTAAAGTGGTTGTGTTTTATACTTAAAATATTTTTTGAAACAATTTTCACTAAGTATTTCGAACAAAAAACAATCCAAAAATCAAAATTGTGAAGGAATGCACCGATGCACGATGCACTCACCATTTCGAATGCATATTATGCATCGATGCACTACCATTCATCGATGCACTCAGGTTTTTATGAAAACATCGAATGCATTCAATGCACCGATGCACAAGCCATGCATCGATGCACCCAAGCTTTTTCAAAACATCGAAGCATATTTATGCATCGTTACACTCTTAGTGCACCGATGCACTAAGTCTTCCAACGGTCGAAATATTTGAATTTTACACATAGTTTACCGATGCACTAGCTCTATGCATCGATGCACCAGACGCTCCCACTGTTTTATTAATTGTTTTCACACTTAAATGGCTCCATTGACTCCACTAATCATCCCAACGTTCAAAATCAATTGAAGGATTATTTAAACAAGCTTAGAAGCCATTGATCAATAACAAGAAACAACAATCAACAAGAATCAACAAGAATCAAGAGAGAATCAAAGAGAAAGCATCAAACCTCAAGTTTGAGCATTTTCAAGCCTATTTCATTCAATATTCATTTTTTCTTTCAAGAACACTTATTGTGCTCAATTGTATTATTCTTGAGTGTTCTTTCTTTATTCTATAATTATGCAATCATCTTGCCTTGTGAGGATTTTCTTGTAAGTTTACAAAATATGTATTGTTCTCTTTGGGAGAGAGTGTTCTCAATAATTTGGGGTATAATTCTTGAGGGATTTGTAAGGTTACTCTTTGTCCTCAAAAGAAAGACAAATTAGTGAATTTGTGGAAAATCCTTAGTGTGGATAGCTAAGGTAATGACGTAGACTTTGGTTGAGAAAGTCGAACCACTCTAAATCGTTGTGCAAATATTTTCAATTTTTTGCAAAAGCTTCCACCGAAATTTTTAATTGCCAATTCTCCCCCCTCTTAGCCATATTCGTCGATCAATTAACTCAATAATTGGTATCAGAGCCTCACTCATTTAAAGGTTTAATCGCCTATTGAGTCGATTCGGGAAGAGTTACATCGATAATCAAGTCATCAATGACCTCTACTTCAAACTCCGACTTCGGTCTTTGATTCATTGCCCGTCAACAAGCCTCCTTTCTTCAATAGAGATAATTATGCTTATTGGAAGAATAGGATGATGTATTTCATTCAAGCAAGTGACATAGGAGCATGGAATATTATAGAAGACGGATATATCAAACCCTCCACTCACTCAAGATTGTGGAATGAAGGAGAGACAAGAATGTTCCAGCTCAATTCCAAAGCTATTCATATTATCTTTTGTGCTCTTGGACCGGATTAGTATGGGAGAGTTTCATCTTGCACAACCACCAATGAGATATAAGACAAACTACAAGTCACTCATGAAGGCACAAACGAGGTAAAATAATCTAAAATTAGTCTTTTAACCTATAGCTATGAAAATTTCAGGATGAAACCGGATGAAGATGTCAAAGCTATGACAGATAGATTCTCCACGATTGTTAATAGTCTCAAATCATATGGAGAAATCATTCCAAATGACAAGCTTGTAAGGAAGTTAGTTTACTCTCTTCCAAAAGCTTGGCAATCAAAGAAGACGACGATCATCGAGGCTAAGAACTTAAAATCCTTGACCCTCGATGAACTTATTGGCTCTCTCCTCACTCATGAAATGATGCTTAAAGAAGAGGAAGACCTTGAGAAAAGAGACGAGCCAAAGAAGGAGACGGAGAAGAAGAAGAACGTGAGAGTTGCTCTCAAATCAACAAAAGATGAGAGTGATTCGGATGAAGATGACGATGACGAGGAAATGGGCATTGTTTTCCAAACGGTTCAGAAAAATTATGAGGCCTAACCGAGGAAGAAAATTCAAACGAAATGAAGGCTTCAAAAATGAACCAAAAGAGAATGACCCGATCATTTGCTATGAATGCAAAAAACTAGGGCATTTCAAATATGATTGCCCACAATTAAAGAGAAAGGGCCAATCAACGAATAAGCACAAGGCTCACGTGGATACATGGAACGATGAAGAAGGTTCAGATGAAGAGGAACAAGAAGTAGCCAACTTGTGCTTGATGGCATTCAGGGAAGATTCTAAGGTAACCTCTAACTCATTTTATTTAGATGATTTATCTTATGATGAGTTATTAGAGGTATATAATGGGTTGGCTTCGGATTATGAGAAATTGTTTTTAAAATATAAAAATGATATTTCGAAATTGAAAAATGAAAATAATCTCATATCCAAGACTAACAATGATCTTGAAAGTAAAATAAAAAATTTGCAAATCAAACTAGAAGAGTTTGAAAAGAAAATTCTGATTTGCATAATTTACTTTCAAAGGTCAATGATGATCATCAAAAGAAAATTGATGATTTTTAAGCTTCTTTCGATAAAGTTGGAACAAAACGTTTTGAAAATGGAGAAAATTCAAAATCCAACTTTTTAGAAAAAGTTTTAAAAAACACAATCATAGAGGTCCCCGAAGAACCTCTAATGGAAAAATCGTTAGAAGTATATGTTGGGACCGTCGGCGCACCCCATGGCGCAGCGGAAACAAAACTCGACGGTCTCACCAGCGATCCAAGTACGAAAAACTGAAATCGGGAAGAAAAGATGCGAATACTTACAGCGGGTTCCTTGAAAAATAGCAAGGAAAATAGTGAATTCTGGTGGTGTAGATCGGTTCGAATCGTAAGCCTCACGAAATCACGTCTCGGCCTCTACTCAGATCACCCGATTGAGAGCAATTTTGTTTTCCCCCAAAACAATTTTGAGAGAAAGTGGCTGAAAGTTTTGTGTGTTTTCTTTTTTTTTACCAAAAACGACTGCTAGACCTAACACACCCTTTTATAACCAAGTTACCCTAGTCATATTAGGGTTTTTATTATTTCAAATTAATTAAATCTATATTTAATTAATTGAAATTTAATAATCCTTTTATATCCAAGTTACCCTAATCATATCAGGATTTTATTATTTCAAATTAATTAAATC